ATGCAGGCATACAGACACATTTTCATGCTCATAGATCATTCAGTAATCCCTCATGTTTAATAGAGTCAGGGACTCCCGGCCTCTCGCTTCCCTCCCATTCATCCGTCAACCCCACCCCCCCCTTCCTCCGCTGCCCTTGCACACATTTATTACATCTTCTTGAAATGATAAAACTGTGGGGAATGTTGAGGTTTCTGGCCAGTGTGTCTGCTCTGAGGCACACACTAGAAACCTGCTTCATTTACCTTTCGTCTGATAGATGGCAGTTTAGGGACGGCAGCCAGGACACTTCTTTCATTGTTCATCTTTGTCCGTCTACCACATTTTCCTGTTGTGGAAAAAAGGCGTTGACCTTGTTTTCCTCGGTCAATTATCTGTATGGTCTCCGATATGCACTGTCATTGTTAAAAATGTTCTTTAATTTGGCTGACCGGCGACAAATGATGGTGTTTTCCCACCAGCAGCCTTTTTCTAGGTGTCACATTTCTCAGGAAGTGGATATTTTGGGATTTCCTGTCAGCCAAGTAGATGAAACTTTAATGAACCTGAAGGGAAACTGGTCTGATGAAGCGCCCCAGAAGAATAAGGGATGTTAAAACAAGAAGAGAACTGCATGTTTTACACTATTTATTCATTTGATTGTACATTTTATTCATGTCTCATTTATTCACTTCATTTTGAACCTTCACAGACACTGTTATTTTCATTATGGATTAATCTGTACATGAATGAATTAATCATTTAGTTTATTAAATGTCAGTGTGAAAAATGTTTATTGTGTCCTAGAGTCCAGTTCAGCTCTTTGTCCGACCAATAGTCCAAGATTAAAGATTTTACAGTGATGTAAAAAAGGCAGCAGACCGTCACATTTGAGTTACCGTTATATGGAGGTTTATGGCTGCCAATTTTAAAATGAAATCGTCGAACTGAAACTACCCTCCTTTTTTTTTTTTGAGTTAGGCAGGTTCGCAATGCACGTACACTTTGGTTGTGACATACTCAGGGACACACAGATGGGTTTCAGCTGGATGAAATAATACATCATCAATGAGAAAAATATTAAAGACATTCTGTAAAATGTGAGCATAGCAGAGATCAGACCAGAGCTGCTGTCTGACTTCACATTAAGAGAGATGCACGTGGAGCAGAGTAATTTTATGGATTATTTCAGAAGCTAAAAGTTTAGTTCCGTTTCCTCTGTTGAATTTATAACTACAGTTGTTAGTTTTGCTGCTTAACTGTCCCACAATATCTGCTGCAGTGACATCACTGCTTGTACTGCATTACTGTCGGCAGAAAAACCCTCACAGCTCAAATCTGATGAATCCAACATGCTAATAGCAGTGTGACATGTGCAGGTGCATCTGGCTTTTAAAAGGAATGGGAGATGACAGATTGGTTGAATTCATGCTACGCCCAAAACATATCTATGATTAATTAAAGGACTAAATGCAACCCCTTTGCCCCTTGTGCCTTACTTTGCGCCCACGTTATGTGCTGTTTAAGTCCCCGATCACACAAAAAGTGTTTTGCAGGTTGCAAAACGCGAGGCGCACTGCACTACTTTTTTATTTTTTATTAAATGCCACTAGTAAAAAAAATGTCATTAGTATCTAGTTCCTAAAATGTTGAGGCAGAGAGAACTTGCTGTAGCTCTGGTTGAGGGTGAGAGGCTGTCAGCAGATAAACAGAGATCTATGTGGGTACATGAGACCCTAAAAAAGAGGCTGGATCATGGGGAGTACCACCAATTGGTCAAGGAGCTTCTCCTCCATAATGGAAGTTTCCAGGCATATTTTAGGATGACTCAGGGGCAGTTTGACAACCTGCTGTCTATCATCAGGCCGTATAGCTCTGGGTATCCAGCAACCGCTACCACCAGTTTTTCCTCCATTGTTTACCAACTGTAAACTTGTTGTCGTGACCACCACAGAAGGCCCGCCTCTCAAATCATCTGATTGGACAAAGGGGAAAAAAGATGATGAAAAAAAAGAGATTATGTGTGATGCTTCTCTGCTGGAGTTCAGAATGATCCGGCAAAAACGGCAGGTGCTGACTGGCTGTTGAAAAAGGTGACTAACTTTATGTTCTAAAACCAGCCACTGGCGATTTGACCTGCAGATTTGCAGGTGACACCATCAGCCATCTTGAGTCGAGCTCAGACCAGCCAGTTCACACCGCTGCAACTTTCCTCTGCATGCAACGTTCAAAAACGGTTTTGTTTTGTCTCATCATGAATCTTTGGTCTGAACTGGGTTTAAGTGTTAGTGATGAGTGTATTTCCTTGAATGACGAACTATTCCTTTAAAAGAAAAAAGTGGGTGATATTTTTATGCCTGTGATAACCTCAAAGGTGTACTTATCTGCAGCTGAAAATAGTCCCCAATAAATGCATTATTTTTCGTTTTATTTGAGTCACATTTGATTAAAAACTATTGTGACCAGCTTTTTTGGAAATAACTGAGCCTTTTTAAAAACTGAAGTAGAAAGTAGTGAGACAGACGAACACAGTGTTCGATTTTTTGATAATAAGAGAAACATAGAATAATGCCAGACTTAAACCCTTCATGCACAGCTCATCTTCCTCCCTCAACCAAAGCATAAAATGTCAGACATGTTGGTGATCTCATGAATTTCTTTTTCTTTCCAGTCTCTCCCTGGTGTGCAGGCTGCACTCTGTGTCTCTCCTTTGTTCTTATGCTTACCTTTATTATCCTGTAAAATACCACCCTTCCAATTACTACCTCCCCCCACGTCTCCTCGTCTGTCTCCTCATCCCTTCATCCCTGTCTCCTCCACAGCATCCCCCCTCCTTTTAATTATTCCCTCCTGCATCACCCTGCCGCTCTTTGTTTGATCTGGCTCTGGGGTTACACAAGTGTTTGTGTGGCATTTTGCCTTGATTATGAGGCAAATATTCACAGAGGGGGAGGGGAGAGGACGTGCTGCAACTTAAGGAATTTGCTATTATCTGAACAGAATTGCTCTTCTAATTAAATCTCTGTGTTCGCTCTGTACATGTAATGCTTTCTGCCAGAATAAATAAGCAAAAACTAAAGAAATCAAAGCTTGATAGCTTAAAGAATCAAATATTTACTACATAATAAAGATAAAATGTGGCTCAAATACAGATATAAATAAATAAGTGCGGCGCACTTCCCACTCCTTGATCCGGGCTTGTGTTTTATTGTTCCTGTAGATATCTCATTTCTCTCCATCGCATCGTCGTATAAATTCAGAAAAGCTTCTTGGAAGCCGCTCTGTCTGGGGAGCCATTAGGTGTGAGGCAGCAGGGAGGGAGGCTGAATCAACGCCATCAAAGTACATGAAAGTGCAGTGAGTGACAATGGTGCATTATTGATGATGCCATTAGCTCCAAGTGCAGACTTTCCTCAGCTAATCGTAATGCAAACCTGTGGAGAGGAGCTCTTTGTTGGCTCGAACCTGACCGCAACCACAATTTTCTAAAATTACAGCCTCATAAAAAAGATACAAAACAGAAATATTTGCAAAGGTTTGGAGCACAACCAAACGTTAGCATGCAGATACGTTCATTTAGAGGCCATTACACCCGTGATATTGTTTTTTCTTGCTGTTACTAGCTACACTCTCTGTCCTGTACAACACCAGACCTTTGTCGTAACAAGGACAATCTGACTTTGCTAAATCTTTCATTTATTAGAGCCTCCTTCCTCACAGGCTTTTCATTATCAGTGAATATGTGAAGTATTTCTCATAATCCACAGTGCAAGAGTTCAGCCAGGATGAACTTTGTGTGAGGAAACTTCCCTTCACTGACAAATGTGTTTTTCAGCTGTAAATGTCCCACTCAGTACATATTGCAGTTGTGACTCCTTAACAGCAACATTTCCATCCAAAACTACTTCTTTTTAAGTTAGTAACTCATATGTGCAGTCACTTCTTCATTCTTCATCAGTTGATCGTGGTCCCAGTCTAAAGTGAAAATGGAGTGTTGCAGGAATTAGCCCTAAGAGTTGACATTTTACACTCCTCGTCCCCTCCTGTCGAAGTCAGTTGGTTTTTGTTTAGATGCCTGAGATAAGGTCCGGGTTAACAGAAGTTTAAGAGATTTCACGTTTTGTTCTACAAGAGAAAATGCGTCAGTAAATACCAACTCATACATTTTAAAAGCTTTTCGTGTCCTAAACAAGGTGGCTATTAACAAGTGGCTAAATGAGACTACAGATCGTCATCGGGCCAAACACAGCTTTACAGTAGGGTGCGCGATAATGGATTTTTTGCTGATATTCGATATGCCAATGTAGTGTAATTTTAAAAGATTAGCAATAGCTTTTTACTTCTGGTGATGGCATTTAAGCTCAAAAAATCATAAAAGCGGTGTTCGTTTGTGGACATTAGCTTCCTGAAGTGTCACAGAGTTTGACACAGAGTTTATTTCAGTCCAAAATTCAATGGAAAAATACCAAAACTACAAGGCAACTTAACAGTCAAACAATTTTGGTTCTTAACTATGGTCATTGTAGTCTTGAATATCTTTTATTTAATGCCAGTGTATTCAAGCTAAAATGCGATGTTTAAATATGTCTATATGTGTCAGATTTTTGTATTTAGCTGTCGATTATCAATATGGGTATCTGCCTCAGAGATCCAGGATCAGTCAGACTTTAATTGTTTTGTTGTAGTGACTGTGAGCATCATTTAACATGGAACTGAATCTGTAGAAATGTCCCATGTATGGAGAAGCAGTTTTGCTGATAAAATATTTCTACTGCGACCAATGAGATTTTTTTTTTCATTAATAATGTATGTAACTGAATATTTACTCTATTGTTAATGGGAAATCTTCAGATCTGAGATCAGCCAAGTGCTTGGTACTTTTACATCATAAATTACACAGATTAATGAGCTCTTATTTTTCAGTACCAAATGAGACAGGACAGCTGGTGGAGAATCAGCTCCATACTGGAAACACTGGTCTCTAAGCCTCTGTGTCCTCTGTCTGTCTGCTCTGTCCTCAGGAGCTCGCTGACCTTCGCCATGTTCACGCTAAGCTGAAGAAGCAGTTCCAGGAGAAGACAGCAGAGCTCGCCCACGCCAACAGGAGGGTGGAGAGCCACGAGGCCGAAGTCAAAAAGCTACGCCTGAGGGTGGAGGAGCTTAAGAAGGAGTTAGGACAGGCAGAGGATGAGGTAAGGACGTGGCTGTGCATGGATTTGTGTATGTGTAGTTTAAAAGAAACTGTCATTGATCTTGTCAACTTACTGAAAACCTTCAGCGTAGGTTTCGTTTCATCATCCGGGGGTACACCTATGAAAATGGGGGATTCAGGGGACCTCCACCAGAAAATTTTAAATCGTAAAACACTTAATTTCCTGCATTATGGTGAATTTTAAGTACCAACGTGTGCCTTTTCTGCATCAATTTGGTGCAAATGACTGTCAAAAGTCCTCTGCTCCTGAAATGTTTTTTTATTGATGGGAAAAATGCACATCTACGCCTATGTAGATGTGCATCTGCATTAATAGCTTTTTAATAACATGTAGTCCTTATTGTTTCATGTGTGGGTGGTTCTATGTCCACAGAGATAACAGACATAATAAAGATAGTGGGTGTGTGTAACCCTTCAGACGACCCTTTCGTGTAACGATCAACCCAGAAGCCAGTGACCTCAATTAATGGTTTAGTGAGACTGGTGAGATTGCTTATTACAAATAAGTATGTGTGTGTGTGTGTGTGTGTGTGTGTGTGTGTGTGTGTGTGTGTGTGTGTGTGTCCAGCTGGATGAGGCCCATAACCAGAGCAGGAAGCTGCAGAGGTCTCTGGATGAACAGGTGGAGCAGACTGAGAATCTGCAGGTACAATTGGAACACTTACAGTCAAGGTAAGACATGAACACACACACACACACACACACACACACACACACACACACACACAGAAGCTCACCTGGGCAGTTACTGTGGATATAAGCATGCATTAACATACAGACACACAGTGGTGCCAGTGCAGGATTTTAAACCGAACAGATTTCAGATAAAGGTGCCAAAGCTCCTCAGTGGCAGCATCGACTGTATCTCTTTAGACACTGTTCTTAATGTGAGGCTCTGACAATCAATTTGTGCTTAACGTGCTGTTTCTTTAAAGCACAGTCACACTTGGTAACACATTTGACGTCATTTCCTGTTTTACGCCCTTACTTGACATTGGTCATTGATGCATGACTTAGTTGTAATGAAGTTACGAACACGACGCCTGGCTGCAGTGCGTCAGAATAAATCCCTGTAGGGTCAGCTGGTTGAGTGAGTTTCAAGTGATCAAATGAAAAACTAGAAGGGAACTATGAGAGTAAACCTCTGCCCAGGCCAGTGCCCTAGCTCGCACATTAGGGGGCGATCACACCGAGATGAAACGCTAGAAGCACAACGCCAGTAAAACAGTTGTTTTCCTATGATACAGCGCGTCTGACTGGCGTTCAAGCATCTTTTTAGATGGGCGTTTTTCCGGCGTCTTTTTAGACGCGCGTTTTTGTAGACGCTTCTTTTTAGACACACGTTTATAGACGCGCATAGACACTGAAAAGTTGAAATATTTTCAACTTTTTTGAGCGTCAGACGCCAGTAGCTAGCGCACATTGAATAAGCACTTCCAGCGTTTCATGCATCTTTGAAGCGTCCGCATCTCTAGCGTTTCATTTCTGTGTGATCACCCCTTTATTCTCCAGCAGCTTCACAATCCATATATGCATCCTCTATCCTTAGATCCTCCATTTTGGTACATTGGTTTTGCCTTTAACGGCACAGTGGTGCAGTGGTTAGCATTGTCACAGCAAGAGGGTTTCCAGTTTGACACAGGGTTTTTCTGTGTGGAGTTTGCATGTTCTCCCCATGTCAGCGTGGGTTTCCTCCAGGTGCTCCAGCTTCCTCCCACAGTCCAAAGACATGCAGGTTAATTGGTGACTCTAAATTGTTGTCTGTCTCTCTGTGTGTGTGTGTGTGTCTGGTGACCTGTCCAGGGTGAATCCTGCCTCTTGCCCAATGTGACCTCCAACAGGATAAGCAGTTACCAAAAATTAATGAATGAATGAATGGTTTAGCCTATATTGTAGATGTATAAAACTTTGATATATCCAAAAGTTAATCCTCTGAAGGAATTCTCTGGGTTTCACCCTGCTCAACAGCGCCATCTGAAGTTAATGTGAGCATGAACACACTGGTTGCTTCAAAGCTTCATTTGTTTTATCATCAGTTTATCAAACTGAAAAATGTCCTGACATCAGTGGGTTATTTCAATCAGCAATGCCCTGACATTGTGTTCATTTTAGTCAGTTTCTGGAAGAGGGCTTTAATTTTTTTTGGTATGCGCTAACCAGTTAGTAGCAATTGATGAAGACTGTTGTCTTTTTCATTTAAAGCTACGAGGAGCGAGGAGCAGTTAGCGTTTGCCACATAAATTGAAGTAGCATGCCATTTTAAGACCTTTTATTTCTGTAAGTCATCTTAAAATAACCTGTGCAGCTGCGTTAATCGCATCCATGCCTCTTGCTATTTTTCTTTGATATAGGTAGCCAGCTAGCTATGTAGGAAAAATGGGGGAAACGTTGACAGTGAACACAATATCATAACTATTTCAGATGTGAGCAGGAAGTTTGAATGTTGTGATGTCTCGGTATACCCAATTCCAGCCCTCTAAAGGTATCAAACTTTTGGGTTTTGCAAGCATTCCAGCTGGAAGGCAAAGTTCTTGATTTACAGGTCCATTTACGTTCCAATCTTCACCTATGGTCATGAGCTTTGGGGTGTGACTGGAAAAATTGAAGATACAAGCACCCTTAGAGACAGGGTGAGGAGCTCAGACATACAGAGAGAGCTCAAAGTAGAGGTGTTACTCCTTTACGTCGAAAGGGACCAGTTGAGGTGGTTCAGGCATCTGATCAGGATGCTTCCAGAGTGCCTCCCATTAGAGGATCTCTAGACATGTTTAACCCAAAGGAGGCCCTGTGGTAGACCCAGGACACACTGGAGGGAATATATATTTCATCTGGTCTGGGAACGCCTCAAGGTCCCTCAGAAGGAGCTGGAAAGTGTTGCTGGGTGAGGGCTGTCTGGAGTACCTTGCTCTGCCTGCTGTCCCCGTGACCTGTCCCCAGATAAACAGATGAAGATAGATAGATAGATGGGCGTCCGAGTATTAAGCACCTTTCAGGCCAACGGAGTGCAGGACACATTAACAACAAGTGCACCAATCAAGCGAAAGTAGAGCAATTTATAAGAAGCAAATTGTACAGAAAATTAAAAATCAGCACACAAAATCATGATGAACTCTCGCACTACGAGTAGTCTGATGATGAACCATCTGCAGCAGTGAGTCACTCTGAACTCTGCTGGCAGCCAGGAATAGTATTCACAGACTCTAGTATATGAATCTGTCTGGGTGTATTCTTCGACATATGGGCAGCAGTTCGGCATATGTCATCATCAGAGAGAGCTGGTATCAGTTAATGTAGGTGGAGTTGAGTATACGATCTCAGCAGCGAACACACAGAGCTGTGATAAAGCCCTGAGGGGTAAACGTGTCAGTCAGTCACAGCTCTCACTGCTTAAAGTTTAACTTTATCACACAGCGCTGGAGTGAGTTCTTAACATTAATTAAGGTCGTTTGTAATGTATGAAAACCAAGCAGGAGAAGGTGAGAGTTGTTGTTAGTGTCAGACTCATGTGAAGCTGTCGTCTCCCAGAGGAAAATGTTGCTGCTCAAAATAGTCTTTTCTTTGTCCCATCAGAAATAAATCAGCCTCTTATTTGGAGATGACTAATTTCTGATCTGTTTCTCCTAAAGTCCACCTTTTACTGCAAAAGAATAAATCAGCAGGAGATCTTTTGCTGTGCTCACAGGCTTCTCAGAAGTTCCTCAACTCTGCAAACAGATCAGATACACAGAGCTGATACTTGACAAGACAAATTTCTGAAATTGTGCAGGCTCATCAATAAGCCAAGTCAAGTTGTCTTTTGGATCTTGCTGTTATCTGAAGAGCTGATTGTTTCAGGCAAATAAAGATTACTGCAGTGAGAGAGGAACAAGAGCATTTTGAAATCTTGAATTAGGATCGGGCTGAGACAAGAGGAAGGCTACTTCTCAGGAGAAGTAAGGGAAAATGGTCAAATGGGTTTTTTGCAGTGGGAAAGGGGCCAAAGAGGTGAATGTAGAAAAAGTAAATTCAGATACATCGTTTTCAAAGTCAAGTATGTCAATGCTGCTGATACTGGTGCTTCTCCCATATACTGTTGACCTTATTTGGCTGCCCCACGAACTCACATCCAAAGTATTTCTTTTGGTGTGTCACCTTTTTTCCACTCTTGGATCTCAGAGCCATAAAATATTCTACACTAGTATCTTGTTATGAAGATCCATAAAGACATTGGAATATCTTATGGAAAGGCTTATGCCAACATTTTTGTACTCTAAGTGTGGGTGGTGCCATGTTTAGCAACAGCGCTCACACTCCCAAACAAGCCGAGACAGCCATGAAGGCTCTCACTGAAAACACACCATGTTCAGGTGTGTGTGTGTGTGATGTGAAGCTGACAGCCTACTTGTAGCTGCCAGGCTCACTGTGAGCCTCAGCACACACTTCTCCTACTATTTAGAGATTAGCTTCTCCTGATCCTGATGTGTGTGTGTGTGTGTGTGTGTGTGTGTGTGTTGCCTGTCTTTCACTTCAGCTCTCACACTCTATCAGCTCGGCACAGTCCTCCGCTCCCTGCTCTCTGCCTCTCCCTCTGCATTCTCTCCATTTTCTCCACGTCGTTGCTCCGGCACCCAGCAGCCAATCGCAGAGCTCCCAGTCGCGGGTTACCCTAGTAACAGAGAGCTCTCTTGTTGCTCTGCTCTGTGGAGGAGTGACAGGCGTGTCGGCATGGTAACGGCTTCAGAGACTGACACAAATCTGTGTGTGTTCTTGTAGAGGGTGTAGCTTAAGCTTTCCCCCATTCTGGATTTCTTTCATTCAGTTTCTCACAGCATGCTTGTGTGTGTGTGTGTGTGTGTGTGTGTGTGTGTGTGTGTATGTGTGTGTGTGTGTGTGTGTTTTAAGCTCATGCTTTATGTTGATGGATGGCTGTGTTCTGACAACATCACTTTGTCCTGTCAACATGTTTTTGTGCCGTGTGTCACTGACACATGTTAGCATACACAGAGTGTGTGTGTGACAGCCTGAACTGTACGTGCTGTGTCATTTAGTTTTGTCATACAGTGTTTGTCCTTAACCAAAATAAAGGACTTTGCGTGCATGTGTGTGTGTGTGTGTGTGTGTGTGTGTGTGTCCTAGTAAGAGGAGTATAAGCTTTAAAATTGGATATTGTTAAAGTCCTTTCCTTGTTTGTGTTAATTGTCGTCAGGGGTGCTACTCAGCCCCTGATGATGTCGTCAGGGTAGAAACTCAGGCACAACCCGACATGAACAGTTTCCGTCCAAGCCACAGCAGTAGTTCTGGGCCCAAGCTCATTAAAAAACCCTATACTTATATATAAAATATATACATTCTTTCATATTAGAATATGTATAACAAACTAAAGGCTGATGTTTTTTTCACGCACTACCTCTCCGTCCTCTCAGTCTTCTTTTTATTTAACCAAGTAAGTCCCGTTGAGATCAACGATCTCTTTTATGAGGGAGACCTGGCCAAGACAGCACCACACAAAAAGTTACAGCCAAGCAACCACACAATAAAAAACAAAAAAGATACACAAAATCTCTTGTCAGCTCTGCGTTTTGGCGCACATTAAGTTAGACAGAACGGGCTCCGCAACCTGGCGCGCCTCCATCTTCAGTGCATACAGCAGTCCACGGTGATATGGTGCGCAGGTGATGATCACTACTCCAGCTGCATCTCACCCACTGCTGGGGACCAACCAAAGTGAATATAATGCACCAGGCTTTCAGCTAACTCCAGTGTAAACCCTTCTTGGCGATACTTGACATTGAAAGCAGCAGACTTAGTATAAAGGCCAAGAAAGTCTGCACATGGTGAGAGTGAGGTGGATGAGTTAAAAAGATGAAGACGTTCACACTGGAGACTGCAGTTCGTGACCTGTAGGAAAACAAAGGTTGATGTTGTTTTAAGGTAACGTTACTGAAATTATGTACCAGTGTCTCATTGTTTGTATTTACATCACTTTTCCTTACATAACAAATGTTAATCCAAAACATGACCTTTATTTTGAACCCGGCCAAGTAGTTCTGTTTCAGCTGTGCGTCACATTGAGACACTAAAGGGTGCCCTGTGCACACCGAGGGCTGTGACAAAGCAGTGGTTGAAGACCTGAAAATGAGAACAGGTTGAATTAGCCTTTTTTAGTATCTGTGATAATATATTCCAACACGAGCATTTCCCATATGTCACGGCCTTCTTCAGCAAATGGGAATATTTTATCACAGGTTTGTGTTCCCAACGTGAAGGCAACCTGTTTTCACCACTGACACTGAATCTCTCTCTGGGCATGGGCAAATTAATCCACACAATTAGTGATATTTGAAGGTGGGAAGCCAGTGAGGGATTGTATCCAAGAGTGATATGTTACGCCCTCCTGATGCGTGTCCTCACTGGTTGGTGTTCAGGGGAAAAACCATGTAGTTGTTGGAGTCACTGAGATCTTGCTAGCCGTCTGGAGCTTTTGCTAGTATCATACATTTTTCAGCAGCAGAGTTGCCGTCGTCACGAAATCCTTAAACTGCTCAGAGGAATTAAATTACATTTGAAGATTTCCATTTAAATGGCTAGCTTGTTTTATCATTAGCTAACTTTCGGATTGGTCAACATCGTCACAGAAGATTGTCGCCTATTTATTTTGCCTCCAACAGGGAATCGACTGATTAAAATGACGTCACACCAGCCTGTAAAATGCAGAATTACACCACTTTAAATGCTGCTGCGACTCGGCCCTAAGGGCAACTAAGCTGTCCGTGAGTTGCCAAACCTGCTCAGCACTAAAACTGGCAACCACAAAGTCCTCCATCACACACACAAACACATACACACACACACTTCGTTCTAATCAGTGGTTGCTCGTGTTTCCGTCTGTGGAACATGATCTGGTGCTTCATGGCCACACTGTCACTCTTGCAGGTGTTTTTGGGAAAGCCATCGATCGTTCTCATCGCTCATTGAAAGAGTGACCACAACCCAGCTTAGAACAAATGGAGGACAGGCATCATTGTCTCACCCCCCCTCCGTTTCTCTTTCCTCTTGTCTTTCTCTGTAGATTGATAGTCATTCAGGTCCCTCGCTTTGCTAAGTGTTTGTAGGCTCAATAGAAAAGCTTTTAGTGGCTGAGCTGCTGTTGTGGTCCAAATGTTATGATGGTTAATCTAATGGCCGCTCTGACCCTGACCTGAGGGCAAGGAAGGTCATCTTTACAGGATGTTTGAACAGTCCTGATCAGAGATGACATCCCCTGAAATGCATAAAAGAATTTTAATAGACTCTGCCTTTCAGAGAGCTGAAACCTTGAGGCTTCAAACTCGTGTGTTCAGAGAGAACGAGGGCAGCAAGACAAAAAAAATGACACTGAGTAGAATCAAGTGTGGCCAAATCTGTTTTCAAGGTCTGTGCCATAATAGACCTACAGTAGCTGCATCTGCAGAAAAATCAATAGTCATTGCCTTTTTAAATCAATTTGAAATGCATACAGCTCAGGGTGAAATGAAATCTTTTTTCATTTTGTGGCTCATTGAAATCAACCCTGGCATGTAGATCACACACTCCCTGGTATTGTCATTTTTGCTTGGCATAAATAAACCCAGAGATGTAAAAGATGTTAGCTGCTTTCGCTTTAGTCCATTGACATAGAGTATTCCTCGTGTATTTACATAAGTGCGGTTACTTTTAAGGATTCAGTACTGATGTTTATACCTCTGTACTCCGTGATTGTACCTGTCCTTTGACTGTTGTCCCAGTTGATTGACCTTATTGATTTGTTTATTCATTCATTATTCGTAAATGCTTATCCTGTTAGGGGTTGTGGGGGGGCTGGAGCCTATCCCAGCTGTCATTGGGTGAGAGGTGGGATACACCCTGAACAGGTCACCAGATTATAACAGGGCTGACACATAGAGACAGACAACCATTCACACTCACATTCACACCTACGGACAATTTAGAGTCACCAATTAACCTGCATGTCTTTGGACTGTGGGAGGAAGCTGGAGCACCTGGAGGAAACCCACGCTGACACAGGGAGAACATGCAAACTCCGCACAGAAGGGCTCCCCCACCCCAGGGTTCAAACCAGACACCCTCACCCGCGTCATCGTGCAGCCTGTCATCAGCCAAATAACATGGGCAGAGTGTGTCTGATGTAGAAATGATATGCAGTTCTGTTATATTCCTCAGCTTTGTTATGTTGTTGTAACATCTGTAACACCTTTAACACTCTGTCTCTGTCGCTCAGACTGCGGCGGCAGCAGCAGAGTCCTGGTCTGTTTGGGAAGATGCGATCGGCTCGGTTCAGTCCTGAAAACCCAGACGGTCCAACCAGCGACATGGACGAGGAAGAAGAGGAACTGCAGCTCCAGATCCCATGACAAAGACACAAACACACACACACATATAGTGACACATGATATACTTTGACACAGACACCCTCAGTCAAATGAAGAAGAAGAAGAAAAGGTGAATACTGTTGCTCTTGGGGGGGGGGGGGGGGGGGGGGGGGGGGGGGGGGGGGGGGGGGGGGGGGGGGGGGGGGGCTTTGTATCTCCAGTGACATGTTGCATCAGGAAGCAGCTGCTGTTAAAGGACCACTCCAACATTATGAGATATTTTACCAGAGTCAGATCAAAAATACCACTTTTATCTCGTTGTGTTGGGATGCTGATGTTAGACAGTCGATGGTCGGCCATGTTGATCGAAAATCGAATCATCATTTAAAACAAATGAACAAAAATGAAGCTTTGTCAAACAAAGAGACTCAGAGAAACCACACAGTTGTCCGTCTGGACAGTATGGTGAGCACACACCTAATCCTTACGCAGAACACACACACACACACACACACACACACACACACTGTCATACACATAAAAACACACACATGCTTGGACTTCTAAAGACAAACAGCAAGGAGATCAAACCCAGCAGATGTGTGACAGACATTAACAGGATGTCCGGACAGTGTGACGCTGAATGAAAGGATCTTCCTATAACTTCCACTAAACCACTCGAGCAGAGGCCGACACGCGTCATCCTTTCAGTCCTTTCTCACCTATTCTTACCTCATATCACCCCAAGCATTACTCTTGTCCCATCTGAACTGTGCTACTGTATTAAAACAAGACTCAACCCCACATTTACATCACCAGTAACGCCTTTCATGTATTGTATTGATCACATATCATCTGTCATTTAAAGAAATTCTCCCAAATATTGAAGATTCAGGATCAGTTTCCCGTGTGTTTGAAGTTTATAGCCAATGCTGGGAGCACACTGCGCCACGTTTAGCTTCATTATGGCTGCAAGTTGGACAGAATTACAGCCGCTGTATGTGTGGAGCAGGAGCCTCCAGCTTGGCCAAGTTTTTCTATTCATCAATCCCCAATCAGTCAAGTCAACTTTGTTTTTAGAGATCAATATCACAAATTTGCCCAAAGGGGCTCAAACTGAGAGAAAACTTGCTTCACTTTGCTCCAGAGTATATGTGGTTTATGCTGCAACTGAGTTGCATTATGGGTCGTCAGGCTGCGTTCAGATAACTGCTTAAATTTGATTAAGACCAGAACCGGGCCCTTACCACGCCTTTTAGGCTCAACTCGTCCAAACCCACCTGGTACTGCCCAGTTTGAGACCTGAACCTGACCTGAGACAGAGGCTGTATCCTCCTGAGACCCTGTGTCCTCATATGAGGACATCACATTTTGGGTTTACTTTACCTTATACTTTATTCTACTTAACTCACACCTGTTGACCTCATTCGTGGACTCTCCTTTGTGCCCTCTAGTGGCAGTAAGAGCACAATACACTAATCCATGTGAAAACAAGATGGCCGCCATCTCTGCCAAGTCAGCTGATCCCAAGACAGAAGTGGACAAGGTTCAAAACCTGATCACATGTTATGGTTGAAACTTGTTTATTCATGATTAGTTATGTTTTTAGTTTGACATGGCAACAAATTTGACCAATTTTAGAAACAGTGACAAGATAAGACACTGTTAATTAGTAAGAACTCATTTCAAGACATTAGGACTTTATTATCATCTTGTTTGAGGACATTTGGACTTAATCATTATTGACAATGTTTAGTTTTTATACTTATCAGGTCCTACTGATCCCAAATAGCTAGGAGAAATTAAAATAGCATACCAAACAAAAGTTCAGGTCTCAGGAGGACATTTTTGTTATTTCCTCTTTAAAGACAAAGTTATATTTTTGATTTGGAAAAGCTTTTCACACACATAATGACCAACTAATATGATAACGACTCAGCACCAAACTTTGAGCCACAGGTTTAGTATGAGTACACACTGAGTAGCTTGTATGTGATCTAATGTCAGACACTTGTCTGAAGGTGATGACAGAAAGTTTGCAAAGCCACTTATGAAAAGTATTGAGACTCTTGGTATTGAGCTGCCATCCCCTGAAGAGATGGTTTGCATTTTAAAACTAAAACAGGGTAACACAACAAAACAAAGAAAATAATTCTATCACATCCTGCAGTGTTTTCTGGGGGAAATGTGAACCAGATGGAGAATGGAGTAAAAAGCCTGTATAGCCATGTATTAGGCCTGATCATTTAAAGATGTAGTGCAGCGGTACTCAACTTGCAGTCTGTGGACCCAATAGAGTGCCAGGTGGCACCCCAGCCATTTTCTCATTCACAATGAAAATAAATTGATTCACACTGGGGTTTTTTGTACTTTAATGTAGATAAGGTGCCATAGTGCATAAAAAAGTGCCAGGAGAGGATCCCCCAGACCCTTGACAGAGGTACAGGCTCAGCCCCAGAATGTCCTCAAACCCTAGAAACACCCTGTTCACACCTGAAAGTGGCCCTCGTGCAAAGCAAGTTGAGTTTCCCCAATGTAGTGTGTTCCCAGCAGGACTGGAGCTGCTCCTCGACAATAAACAAATAGTGCGGTGAATGTGTACATAAACATGAGGAAGAGATGACGGTATGAGAATGTACAGCGTCCTCGTAAAACAAAGACATTGTGGGATGTAATGGATGGAAGTAGTAAAATCTCTTTATAGTGTCTGTGAGGGGGGTCTGAACCTGTGGATGCTAACTGAAGGCCCCGTCACATCAGCATTTTATCCAGCAACGTTTCTCAACAAAGTCTGTTTATTCCTGTGAAATCTGCACCATTAGTGGATTCTCTTTTGAGTGCAGTTTGAAAGGATGAACTTTGATTCAGATTTGCACTTTTGACCAATAGCAAACCATCTTGACAGTGGAACAGTTTGATGATAGCAGACCAGTGGTGTTGTGCTTTCAGAGGGAGGGATTCAAATCAGAGTATCATTCCTTGATGCATTTGAGTTTTAGGGTTTAGGTTTGAATTTTTGGAGTTAGCCTTCAGTCTGTATGGTCATTATAGTTGACTCGTCTGATACTGTTGAATTAGAGCCTTCTTTTTCATCAGTATACAGAATGTCATCATACACACAGGTGGAACCAAACGTTTCCCAACAGCAAAGGCTAGAAATACATTCAGAGGTCTGTTGTTCTGTTCTGAACTTGTTGGCGCAGATTTTTATGCAGTGTTTACACTGAGGTTCAGTATTTTAAATTTTCCTGGAGAAAAAAGTCCCACAAATCCCAAGTAATTATGTCCAGTAATTCACTCTGGACTGAATTCAGTGGGGGTGGAAACGCCTCCAAAGCAGCATTTAGACCGTCATAGGATAATGAAATACTCACTGAAACCCAGGCTAGTAAAATCCCCGTAGGCTCTACACTAAATACTCACCAGCTCCTTTGAGACGGCCCATGGATTCAACAGTAGGCGGATTTTGGATACGCTGGGTGTTGGACTATCTGCTGGACTAAATTTCCTGACTGTGGAGGAGCTCCGGTCAAACAGTGGATAGATGCAGTTGTGAAAGCAAAAACACATTCATTTATCTTCCACCATCATCCACAGTCGCTCTCTGCCTCGGCCTCAACTCTGGCGCTGGAAGGGGACCAAGATATTTTTACCGATCAGGATTCTGAACTATTTATGTTGTCGTTGTTACGGTTTAGTTTTTATAAATGATCTGTACCACAGTGGTTTTGTATTAGCTCTATAAATGTCAACTGTACATATAAACAAACATGAGTCACTGTGTGTTTTATTCTCCATACTGTGTGTATTCATAATGTGTGTGTCGGGGTAATCTTGTTTTTATCTGAAGAACACTCAGCGGTGCCTTATTGCTTGTAACCTCAAAGTTGTTCTCAAGTTTCTCTTAAAAACCTACATTTCTCCTAAAGAGGCAGAGCGAGTGATTTCTCACAGAGCAGCCGTGGTTTGATAAAGTTGCCATGGTGATGTTGGTAACGTTCATGCTTAGGTTAATCAAATCTTAATTGCGGTTCAAACACTTATTGTTGTCTGGATATTTTCATTAAACATGAAAAAGAAGCCGAAGTGGATTAGAGGAGAAACTTGATGTTAGATAAATCTGCCAAAAGAAAAACACGTTTTCAAACTGTAAGACGAGGGAGAGCGGAGATATGAGGCTAAGATACTGTTTGAGATGAGAGTTGCATGGAGGTGTCGTAAAAACAACTGGAAGTTAGTCGTAGTTTTGCTGTTCAGAAGCGCTGTCAACAGCTGCAGCCACATGTCATGGAGGCAATTTAGGTACATAACGTGTGTGTACTCCTCAGACTCTTAACTTAGTCACAAAAATAAGTGATATCTGTTTAAATTCAGTTTGACATCCTCTTTATGATGCCCACCACCAGTGGTGTAAGGTAGTTACCACGGGCCCCAGTGCACGCTATTGTAACGGGCACCACTGGACCACTGGTGACTTTTTATAAAAAAGCCAAATGAATGTTAATAAGGGAGCTTTGCTACTTTTTCCTCCTGTTTGTTCCTCTCTTGTCACTATTCTGTGTGAAAGGCAGGACTTGCAGATGTGCTCAGTTTTTCAGTCTTGACAGATTTTGCACCTAAACTAGCCACCAGATATCATATTGCCTTGTCACATGTTCAAATAAAGACTTGACGTTAGGCAATATGAACATACATGTTACCCAACAATCATCATTGCAGACCTGTATGCGACAAAAATATAAAGAAAATAACAAATTATTCATTTAATCAAGTAGTTTTTATATATAGTTTAATAATGTTTTTTCCTAGTTCATGTAGAGTAAGCACATAATTTTGTTATAGTTTGCTACTGACAACCAAAATGAAACGAAAAGAAAATCATGACGGAGGCTGGTTTGCATTTTTGAGGGCATTTCGCCTACAGTAAATGGCACCATTTTTAATTTTAATTTAGAGTTCTTTGAACACAGGTGTAGTCCCAAGGTGGCAATCCAAGTTATTTGCAAGGCCCCACCTCCCACCTCACGGGCCCCATGCAACTGCACCGCCCAATAGATGGCTAGAAATCAGAAAAACAGTCACTTAAGATCTCGCCTGAGAATCATCTTCAGGATCAAAGTAATCCAGTGATAATTGTCTATACA